CACAGGGGAAGAGAGGACGGATGGAAGGAACGGGCAAAGGACAGGGAGGAGGATGGAGCACGAGAGAGAGCAGCAGCAGGGGGGCCAGAAGCAGAAAACACTTGGCACACCCAGACGGGCCCATCGGGCGTGTAGACCCTAACGGGCGGGTCGGGAAGGCGGGCCCAGACGGCCGGGTTGAGCAGAAGGGTTGCTGAAGCGTGCGCCCTACATGAATCGCGAGGAAATCTGGAGCAATGGCGCGATTCTCACATGTTCACAGCGAGAGCATGGTTCCTGAGTGTCGAGAGCGCGGCGTCTGAATACATTGCAAGGAAGTCCCACGCGAGAGCGCGACTCCTGTATAATGTGTGAGGACCTCCCGCGCGACAGCTCGACTTTGGCAATACATTATGAGGAAGTATCAGGAGGGAGCCGCTGATGTTGAAAACCGGGAGCCAGGGGCACAGTTTGGTGATACTCCATTTCCCGTTATATATATAAATATTAATTATAATAATAATAATCATTAAAAAAAAAAAAAAAAAAAAAAAAAAAAAAAAAAAAAAAAAAAAAAAAAAAAAAAAAAAAAAAAAAAAAAAAAAAACTGTGCGTGTCCCCAAAGAATCATTTAAATATAAAGATACCACGGTTACCGGAGAAGGGGGGATCAACAATAATTGGTCTTTAGAAGTGAGACGCCAACAGCGACAATGACAACGACAACGACAACGACAACAACAAACATGTTCATAGTATGCGTTCGTACCTGCTCGCGTACCATCCAGTACGTATATCCCAGACCCTCGATATCCGCTCTTTTCGTTTTCGGCCGCACCCCCATTGAAAGTAGATTGGTTTTACTTGCTTTACCTGCAACGTGTACCTGGCGCAACCCTTAAGACAAGGGAAGAGAGGACGATGGAAGGGGGAGAGAGCAGGGTCGAGCACCAGGGAGATTTAGCAGGAGTGGGACCAGGAACACAAAACACGTGGCGGAACCAGACGGGCAGACCAGGCGGGCAAACCCGAGCGGGTGAGTCGGAAAGGCGGGCCCAGGCGGCCAGGTCGAGCAAGCGGGTTGCTGAAGCGTGCGTCTTGCATGAATCGCAAGGAAGTTTTGAGCGATACCGCGATTCCCGAGGGAATCGCGAAAAAACTAATGCCAGAGCACGATTCCTGAGCGTCGTGGGCGCTGCGTTTATAAATTGCGACGAAGTCCCACGCGAAAGCGCGATTCCTGCATACGGTGTGAGGAAGTCCCGCGCGAGAGCGCGATGTTGGAATACATTGTGAGGGAGTAGCAGGCGGGAGCCGTTTTTTTTAGTCGGGGGCCATGGGGCCAGTGCGGTGGCCTTAGATTGTCTGTCATTAAAAGTAGGGCGCGAGCCCCAGGAGGAGCACTTGAATTGAAAAATGGTAGCTGGAGGGAGGGGGATCGACAATAATTATTCTCCCGAAGTGAGACCTCAACAGCACCACCACAACAACAACAACAACAACAATAACAACAACAACAACAACAACAACAACAACAACAACAACAACAGCAACAGCAACAACAACAACAACATCAACAGCAGCAACAACAATAACATCAGCAGCAACAACAACTACAACAACAACACCAACAACAGAAGCAACCATGTTTCTACTGCTCGCGCTTATCTGCTCGCGGGCAATTCAACACGTGTATCCCAAACCCTCGCTAAACACCTTCTTCGTCTTCGATCGTACCCCCTTGGGGGTATATATTTCGTACCTCAAGGTGTTTTTTTTGTGCAGCTCTTGAGGCATGAGAAGAGAGGACGGATGGAAGGAAGGGACAAGGGAGGAGGGAGGAGGATGCATCACGAGAGAGAGTAGCAGCAGGGGAGCTAGGAGCAGAAAACACGTGGCAGAACCAGACGGGCAGATCGGGCGGGTAGACCCTAACGGGCGGGTCGGTGAGGCTGGCCCACACGGCCAGGTCGAGCAGGCGGGTTGCTGAAGCGTGATTATTACATGAATTGCGAGGAAGTTTGGAGTGATCTCTCGATTCCCCATAAATCGTGAGGAACCCCACAACGAAACAATGATTCCTGAGTGTCGAGGGCGCGGCGTCTGAATAAATTGCGAGGGAGTCCCACGCGAACGCGCGATTCCTGTATAAGTTGTGAGGAAGTCCTTCGCCAGAGCGCAATTTCGGAATACATTGTGAAGAAGTACCAGGCGGGAGCAGCTGTTGTTGCAAACCGGGCGCCACCAACCGAGTTCTGAAACCCAAGGTTTCCTTGATAACAACATTGTACGGGCCCCAGGAATGGCACCTCAAGTGGATTTGTCTTGGCGAAAGACCCAACCATGTGCAGTTGTGAATACCACGGTGGTGCATATCCTGTTGGGTGGAGCTCCTTGTGGGGCCACGAAACGTGTCACGGGTGTGCCGAAACGGGCGCCATGGTGGTATGCCGGCGTTGCCTCTGGGGCCCTAGGTGGAGGAGCTCCTTATGGGGCCACGAACGGGAGGGGTGAGGGGTGTGGTGTGAGGAGTCCTAGGTGTGAGGGGTGTGCCGAAACGTGCGCCGTGGTGCCATGCGGGCGCTGCCACTGGGGGCCGTCGGTGGAGCTCCCTATAGAGGCCCGAAACGTGTAACGGGTGTGCCGACACGGGCGCGGTGGTGCCATGGGGGCGTTGCTTCTGGGGCCTTCGGTCTATGGGGCCCGAAGTGTGAGGGGTGTGCCGAAACGGGCGCGGTGGTGCCATGCAGGCGCTGCCATTAGGGCCTTCGGTAGAGCCTTATATGGGGCCCGAAGCCTGTGATGGGTGTGCCGAATCGGGCGCGCTGGTGGCATGCGGGCGTTGTCATTGGAGCCTTCGGTGGGCACGGTGGTGCTTTGCGGGCGTTGTCTGTGGGGTCTCAGGTGGAGTTCCCCATGGGGCACGAAACGTGTGAGTACCGAGACGTGCGCGGTGGTGCCACGCGGGCAATGCCACTGGGGCCGTCGGTGGAGCTCCCTATGGGGCACGAAACGTGTGAGGGTATGCCGAAACGGGTGCGGTGGTGCCATGCGGGCGCTGCCTCTGGGGCCTTAGGTGGAGCCCCCTTATGGGGCCCGAAACGTGTGAGGGATGTGCCGAATCGGGCGCGGTGGTGTCATGCGGGCGTTGCCACTGGGGTTTTCGGTGGAGCTCCTTGTGGGCACGAAACGTGTGAGGGGTGTGCCGAAACGGGCGCGGTGGTGCCATGCGGGCGCTGCCACTGGGGCCTTCGGTGGAGTTCCCCATGAGAATGGGGCCCCGAAGCCTGTGGATGGGTGTGCCGAAACGGGCGCGATGGTGCCATGCGGGTGTTGCTTCTGGGGTTTTCGGTGGAGCTCTCTTTGGGGCCACGAAACGTGTGAGTCGGGCGCGGTGGTGCCATGCGGGCGCTGCCGCTGGGTCCTTAGGTGGAGCTCCCGATGGGGCTACGGAACGCGTGAGGGGTGTGCCAAAACGGGCGCGGTGGTGCCATGCGGGCGCTGCCACTGGGGCCTCAGGTGGAGCTCCCGATGGGGCCACGAAACGCGTGAGGGGCGTGCCGAAATGAACGTGCGGAGGGCAGAGGCAAGGAAGGGAGGAGGGAGGAGGGGGATGAGGAGGAGAGGAGGAAGGAATGCGGGGCACTGCTTCTGCGTGGCAGGGGTTTGCTAAGAGTTTTATCCGTAAGGGCTTCGCCCCCTGCCGCCGGCCCCCTCTCTCGGAGAATGGGCCATGGAAGAGCTAAGTCATGAGGCCTTGGCGCTGTCGTGAAGCAGTATCGAAACTTCATGCGAAGCCGATTCGCAATCAGCAAAACCAACTGATCACAAGAGGGGTTACCACACCTGGCGATTGGTAAGACGTGTATGGTTTACGGGCTTGGTTACCACACCTTGCGATTAAAGGGCCGAGGGAGTTCTCGCAGTTTGGGTTACCACGCCTTGCGATGGATGTGCGTGAAGGGTGGCACCGAATTTCAGAAATGTGGCAAATCCCTGTGTTTTTGGGACCCTGACCCCGCGGATCTGCGTGAGGGGTGGCACCGAATTTCAGAAATGTGGCAAATCCCCTGTGTTTTTGGACCCTGACCCCGCGGATCTGCGTGAGGGGTGGCACCGAATTTCAGAAATGTGGCAAATCCCTGTGTTTTTGGACCCTGACCCCGCGGATCTGCGTGAGGGGTGGCACCGAATTTCAGAAATGTGGCAAATCCCCTGTGTTTTTGGACCCTGACCCCGCGGATCTGCGTGAGGGGTGGCACCAAATTTCAGAAATGTGGCAAATCCCATTTGTTTTTGGACCCTGACCCCGCGGATCTGCGTGAGGGGTGGCACCGAATTTCAGAAATGTGGCAAATCCCATTTGTTTTTGGACCCTGACCCCGCGGATCTGCGTGAGGGGTGGCACCGAATTTCAGAAATGTTGCAAATCCCCTGTGTTTTTGGACCCTGACCCCGCGGATCTGCGTGAGGGGTGGCACCGAATTTCAGAAATGTAGCAAATCCCATATGTTTTTGGACCCTGACCCCGCGGATCTGCGTAAGGGGTGGCGCCGAATTTCAGAAATGTTGCAAATCCCTTGTGTTTTTGGACCCTGACCCCGCGGATCTGCGTGAGGGGTGGCACTGAAATTCAGAAATGTAGCAAATCCCTTATGTTTTTGGACCCTGACCCCGCGGATCTGCGTGAGGGGTGGCACCGAATTTCAGAGATGTTGCAAATCCCCTGTGTTTTTGAACCCTGACCCCGCGGATCTGCGTGAGGGGTGTCGATTTCGAGCCCCCACGCTAAAATGCCACTTTGGGCCTCCCCCCCCTCGCGCGGTCAATCAACTAGTTACAGTAACCAGCAATGAGTCAATTAGTTACAGTAACCAGCAAGAAGCAGAACTGTAACACTGGAAACTACAAGCTACGACTGGCACAGGAAACTGCGAACCTCGCTCCTACAGCCCGGTGGCCCCACAAGGGGGCCACCGGACTTCTGTCGCCGTAATGTTGCTCAAGCTGAAAGCCCGAGCATGATTGCGGGGACCGCCACGAGCAATGCGATCGCCGCCTTGTGCCTGGCGGCTGGCGTGCTGCTCCACCCCGCCAGCTGGGTTGGCGACGGGTGGTGCTCGGGCGGTCTCATTGGGGTTATCTGGACGTTCAGTACTACCAGCACGACCGAGACCAGCGTGACCTGGACGAAGGCGGTCGTCTACGCTCCGCCCCCCTGCCCTCCGCCTGTGCCCCTTGAGTGCCCGCACGACGGGCCAGAGAGCTTCCACGTCCTGGGCGAGGGCGTGACGGGCTCGACGGTGGAGATCCCCAGCTGGCTGCTGCTGCTGGCGCTGGGCGGCGGTGAGGCTGGGCTGGCCTGGGGCGCCTGGCGCTGCTGCTCACGGAGGGCGAGCAACCTTCGCCGGAGGCAACCTCTGGGCGAGGCCCGCTTGCAAATCAAATTATTCGCCTGCCGCCGGGGTCGCTCTTCGAGACGGTCGCCCATCCCAGGCCGGGGTCGAGGGGGCTTGTCACGTTCTCGAGCGACCCCGGCTGGGCCCACGAGAGGCTTTTCCTGTGGCCCGTCCCGCCAGACTCAGACGGTGGCCACTGGGCCAGCTACGTCTACACGCCTGGGAGTGACTTCTACTTGGAGCAGGAGACCGACTACAGCAGCTCGGCCCTGCTCACAGGGCGGAAGGGCTACCCGACGGGCGCCCCTCAGGTGGTGGCGTTCAGCCGGGCCCTGGAGCCGGACGAGGTGGCTGAGCTCGTCACGAGGGCGCGCGCCGAGGCTGTCGTGATGACAGGGAGTGAGGGACCCGATCCCAGCGTGCCTGACGCGGTGGACTGGAGGGGGGGCCGGCTGGACCTTCCAGCCTACTCCTTGGCGCAGGCGCCGCGCCTCAGTGCCTCGGGCCGCCGGCTCCGAGGCAAGCAGGCCATGCCCCTCCCCGTCGGCGACGTCGATCGATGGGGGCGGGGGCTGCTCTTGTGCCAGCGTCGGAGCCAGGCGGCGGCACGCCCACGCCCCTGCCAGAGGCCGCCGATGGGCACGGCTGGCTGTGCAGCGACTTGGCCTGCTGGGACGGAGCTTTCGCCTTCGGCACCGAGCTGCGACCTGGCCAACCACCGCGTGTCGGGCTGCGTGGGCGAGGCGAGTACGGCATCGCCACCGATCGCAGCGGAGGTCACCACCCTGTGGAGCTCGTCGAGCTCGGTCGCGTGTCGGAGTGGCGCGAGGCCATGCTGCAGGGGGCCTCCCGGCTCCGAGGCGGTGGCGACCCGCTCGAGAAGAGGCTGCTCGACGACGGGCCACCTCGGCCGCCCGCGCTGGTGCCCTCCACGGCCCGAGCCGAGGCGGCCGAGGTCGACGACCTCCGCACGTGCTGGATCGACTACGACGACGCGGGGGCCAGGTACAAAGAGTGGAGGAAGGTGCTGCAGGAGGCCACTCAGGAGAGCGTCCAGACAGCTGGGCTCAGAGGGCCCCCAGTGCGCCTCCCCGTGTGCAGGAAGTTCCACAAGCACGGCGGGACGCCCAAGGCCTGGTTCGCCGAGTGGGCTCGCGAGGTCGGCATCTCGCGTAAGGACCGGGCCCGGCATGAGGTCGAGTGCCTCATCGAGTGTCTCTGGCTGGCTGGCAGCTACGACCAGCTGAACGCGGGGGCCGTCGCGGCCCTGGAGGTGGTCGCCCGACGGCTGCTGCAGTACGTGGAGGCCTACGCGATGGGCGCGGACAATCCCAACTGTAGCGCGGCCACGCACTTCAGCGCCACCTCCTCGGCCCTGGACCTCGCCCCCGAGGAGATGCGCACGTGCGCCGCGCGCCGGGCGAAGGACGAGCTGGAGCTGGAGAGCCTCCGCGTCCGCGCCCGCGCGCCCCACTCGGGGGCCGCCCCGTGCGCCGACGCCGCGGCCGCCGCCGCCCTCACGGGGGGGCCCCCCTCGCAGGCGGAGGGCGACCACGCCGGCGGAGGCAGAGCAGGAGGAGGGAGAGGCAGAGGCGGCCGCGGGCGAGGCGCGCGGCCGCCGGCCACATGACGCTGGACCCCCAGGGCGACGATGGCCCGACCGTCGCCCGCGAACCCCACAGGGCTCGCGCCTTCCTGCCTCTCCCCCCTCTGAGCGTCGCGGGCATCCCCGCGGCCGCCACGGGCGGGGGGCGCAGACGGCTGCTGCGAGACATCAACGCGGCCATCGAGGCGCTGAATTGGATGAATGGAGGGGATCATCGGCCTGCCCCACGGCAGATGTAGGCGCCCACCGAGAAGAAGATTTTGGGCCTACAAGCTGATGTGCGGCAGCGCGTTGTGGAGGCGGCCTCCCGCTGGTGCGACGTTGACAGCGCCGTCGGCGAACGTGGAGCCTTGGCCAGGCCCTTGAAGGGGCGCTCGGGGCATGCGCCGGCGCCTTCATGCAGTGTCGGGCCCTACGAGTACTCGAAGGTATCTGCGCCGAGTGACTTGCATGACTCGCCGTCGCTCATCTCGACGTCGCCTTCGCAGGCGAGGAAGCACCTCGAGGATTTTGAGAGGCCTATGCCCCGGCCCGCGCAGGAGTCTGAATTACTTCAACAGCACGAAGGGGCGCCGGGCTGTCATACCGACCCGGCGCTGCGGAAGGATCCTCGCACCTACGGCCGCCTTGCGCGGAGGGTAGCGAGAGTCGGCATGGTGACCTTCACTCGAGACCCGGCCTGCGTGCTGGGCGTCTTTTTCGTCACCAAGAAGGCCGACAAGCTCAGGCTGATCGTCGACTGCCGGCGAGCCAACCAGCTGTTCCAGAAGCCTCCCGGCGTCGCCCTCCTGAGCGGCGAGGGGTTGTCCAGGGTGGAGATCGACGACCCCGAGGACCTCCTGGGGGGCCTGCCGGTCCACCTCGGCGCCGGGGACGTCGCGGACTGCTTCCACAGGATGAGGTTGGTGAAGACGGCGGGGGGCGACATTCGGCGTTACTTCTGCTGGCCGCCCCTCGCGCCCAAGCACGCCAGCATCTCCGAGGTCGACGGCGTGGCTGCGAGGCCGGACGAGAAGATCTGGCCCATGTGCGCGAGCCTCCCTATGGGTTTCTCGTGGTCGCTGCACTTTGCCCAGACCGCGAACGCCCAGCGCCTGGGTCGCCAGCCCGCGCTGCGGCAGAGCCAGGAGCTCTCGGACCGGGGGCCTTCCCTGGCCCTCGGCGGGCCTTCGGCCTCGTCAGGGTCAGGCCACTACATTGTCACTACATGTACGTCGACAACGCTGGCGTGCTCTCCTTCGACGGCGACCTGGCGGGTCGCGCTCTGGCGGAGGCCCAGAGGGGCTTCGACGTCGACGCGCTGCGCTTCCACGAGATGGAGGTCTTCGACCACGGCGGGCCCTCCTCCCTGGGCTGGCATCTTGACGGCGACGCCCGAGTCGCCCGGCCCATTGACAAGCGTTCTGCTCTTGTTCGCCGCGGCGTCCGGGCGCTGCTTCGGCTGAGGAAGGTCTCTGGCTGGCAGGTCGAGGCCGTCCTCGGACGCGTCACTTTCCTGTGTCTGATGCGTCGGGAGCTCCTCTCGATCTTCCACGCGGTGTATCGTTTCGTTCGGGAGTCCTACACGAAGTTCCAGCGGCTGTGGGACTCGGCTCGGGAGGAGCTCAACGCCTTCCTCGGGGCCATGATCTTCGTCGAGGCCGATTGGAGCCATCCTTGGACGCCCTACGTCTACGCCAGCGACGCGAGTCTCCACGGCTTCGGTGTCCCCCAGCCCCTCTGGTCGCATCGTGACGCGGCCGAGGTCGGGCGCGTGCCGGAGCTCAGTCGCTACCGCCAGGGCGGCGCCCGGGCCCGCGAGCACGCCTTCGAGGTCGCCGGCTTCAAGGTGGACCCTGAGAGCGGCGACGTGGAGCGCGACTTCCTCGGCCGGCCCGCGCGGCCCCACAGAGAGGCCAGGGAGATCCTGGAGGCTGCGCGGTGGGAGCACAATGAGGATTTTGCGGAGGTGCCCAGCCGCCTCCTTGCCGGCGACCGCCGGCACGCTATTATCGCTGATCGTTGGCTGCATGCCGACGACATTTTGCGCCTTGAGGCCAGGGCGGCGGTCAGGGCCGGAGCTCGTGCCCTGCACATTGGGGCCGTGAAAAACTGCCGTGTCCTTTTGCTCGGTGATAACCTGGCCATCACGCTCTGTTTTGCTCGGGGGAGGTCGAGGGATTACAGGGTGCTTGCGCAACTAAGGCGACTCTTTAGTTCGGCCCTCGCTCGGAATGTCCGACTTCATTTCCGATGGATCCCCAGCGAGTTCAATTCTGGGGACGAGGGGAGCCGAATCTACGATACCTTGTATGATGCTGAGAAGACCCTGTCAGACCCATCCCTCCCCCGCCTCGGACCTCCTCCTCCTCAGCCATTTGGGCTCCAGATCGATTACTCAGGCCGACCCTGTTTCCGCACCGAGCCTCAGCCAGACCGATGCTGTGAGGGCCACGGATGGACCAGCGCCGGCGGCTGCCGTCGGCCCCCGGCCGCCCTCCCGGCGGACGTCCACCCGCGCCGTCGGCCCCTACGCGCAGTCGCTGCTTGACTGCACCCCTGGCTCGGCCGAGCTCGGAGGGCCAGGCGACACGCGCACGCGCCCTGACCCTGGAGCGGGGTCTGGCCAGCCGCCTGGCGCTGCGCAGCCGTACTCTGGAGCAGGGCTGGCCCGAGCGCAGACGACGGAGGCTTTCCTGGGGCAGGTGGCGAACGAGATCCTTGGCAGGTTGGCCAGGGCGCCAGGCCCGGCCGACCGAGGCGCCCCCGCGGACATCGAGGGAGAGGACAGCAGCGAGAGCGACGACTCCTCGGACCCCGAGGAGAGGGCGGCGACAGCGGCCCGCCAGAGGGCTTTGCGGCGGCGCGGGAAGAACCACGTGCGCCAATGCCTCAGCGCCCTGATGGGCGCGGCCCTCCTGGGCGCGCGGCTGACACCGCTGGGGGCCCGGTCCGTGACCGAGGCAGCTGCTGCCCAGTACCGCCAGCGCGCCCTCGCCTTCTTGAGCTGGGGCCCCTTCTCAGAGGCGGTGCTGGAGGAGCCCGCGCGCCTGGACGTCGCCCTGACCGACTTCATGAACCACGAGTTCGAGCAGGGTCACAAGAGCTGGAGGGGAGAGAAGCTCCTGGCGGGCATCATCTTTCACTCACCGCGCCACGGGAAGAACGGCTACGACAAGCTGCCGCGCACCCTGCGCGCGCTGAAGGGATGGTGCAGAGCGTCGCCATCTCGCTCGAGAAGGCCCTTGACCGTGGGCATGCGGGTGCCCATTGTGGTGGAGATCGCGAGGCTGGGTTTCCTGATGGCCGCAGTACTAACCTTGATCATGGTAGAGGGGTACCTGCGCCCCAGAGAGATGCTGGGCCTGACGCCGGCATCGTTCCTGCCACCCGCCCCTGGCGGGGTGGCCACGTGGGTCCTCCTGCTCTTCCCGCAGGATGGCAACCTGCGGTCCAAGACCTGCGAGAGCGACGACAGCATCCCCCTGGACTCAAGGAGATTCGGCTGGATGGACGCGATCTATCAGGTGTTCTCCAGGCGCCCCCAGGGCTCGGAGCGCCTCCTGGACTGGAGCTACCGCGAGTACGCGAGCGTCTTCAGGCGCGCTGCCGCCAACCTGAACTGGGCAGTGGTGCCATATCAGGGGCGTCACACGGGGGCCAGCGCCGACCGCGCCGAGAACCTCTGAACCCAAGAGCAGGTGATGAAGCGCGGGAGGTGGCAGGCTCTTCGAAGTGTCAGGAGGTGCGAGAAGGCTGGGCGCGTCAGCCAGGCGTGGCGGGAGCTAGATGCCGAGGACCAGGACCACGTCTGGCTCTGCATGAGGAAGATCGAAGGGATCTCCCTACGAGGGGACGCGGCGCCCACGCCTCCATACTTCAGGCGCAGAGCGGAGCCCGATCCCAAGCGTGTCAGGCGCTCTTGAGGGCTCCGAGAAGATATGGTCTCGATCTTTTGGGCGGCGGCGGCGGGCTTCGCCGAGCTGCTGCTCGCTGGGGCCTCCCCGTAGTCAGTTTGGACTTGCGGAATGCCCCAGATCAAGATCTGACCACCAAAGTGAATGTACGTTTGATTCTCAGGCACCTTGCAGAGGGCAGGGTGGTCGCTGTGATGATGGCACCGCCGTGCGCCACTTTCAGTCGCGCGCAACAGGTACCCTGTGCGCGACGCCTTGCACGTGCGAGGCCTGCCCAACCTGCCCCCCCTCGATGCATATAAAGTGAAGGTTGGAAATGCTTGCCTAGATACCTGTATCCTTGTTTTGCGGGCCTGCCGAAAGCACGGTATGCCTTGTGCCCTCGAGAACCCACAGACTTCTAGGCTGTGGTCTGACCCGTCACTGGATCGTGCTGCGCCGAACCTCGAGAGGGTGACTATCCATCAGTGCGCCTTCGGAACCAGATATCGCAAGGCAACCGATCTGTTTTTTTTTCTGAACGTGTCCGACTTAGATCTTCTGAAGACAGAATCCTGGAGATACCGTTGCAGCGGGGAGCACGGTTTTTGCAGTATCAGGCTTAACAAGAACCACCTTACCCTTGAAGGTAGTTCAATGACGAGCAAAGCAGCTGCCGACCCTTCCAGGCTTTGTTATTTTCTAGCCAGCACCCTCCTTCAGGGTCATGTCTGACGCCACTCCGCCGGCCCAGGGTCCTGTCCTCGTGGGGCCCGAGCCCCAGCGATTTAACACAGGGGCCTGCCGCTGCGCTGTGAACTTCCGTTTTTGCGAAAGAGCAGATGCATCGGCCGGCTCTACCATCAAACGTTCACCGCTGTAAAAACAGTAGCATGTTTCTGCGTGGCAGGGGCTTGCTAAGAGTTTTACTTCTGTCGCCGCAATGTTGCTCAAGCTACCCCCCCCCCCCCCCCCCCGACCTCACCCGCCTGAGCGCCCCCTGTGGGAGTAGGATATGTAAGCCAAGCCTTCCAAGCATATGCATCGGCCGGCTCTGCCATCAAACGTTCACCGCTGTAAAAAGAGTAGCATGTCTCTTCAAAACGAGGTCCCAACACCACAAGATGGCTGGGAAAAACGCAATGTGCCCCAGAGCGGGGGGATCAACATTAGTTGGTTCCTGATCCGGAGAGTTCAACAACAACAACAACAACAACAACAACAGCAGCAACAACAACAACAGCAGCAACAACAACAACAATTATTGTAAGACTGTTCGCTCTTACTTGCCCGCGTGTCATTCAAAACGACTTCCCCACACCCTCGATACCCGCCTTTTTTGTCTTCGACCACACCCCCTTTGGGGGGATTATTTCTCTTTGCGGGGAGCGGCGGGCTTAGACAGGCGGGCAAACCTGAACGGGCGGACGATCCTTCGTGGGCGTACACGCGCCCGCCATTGGAATTGGCGTGGGCCCTGCAAAAAGAGGAGGGCGAGAACGAGGGAGAGTGGGAGGAAGGGAGGGGGAGGGACGAAGGATGAGGGAAAACGCCAGGAGAGAAGGAGCGAAAAGGGGGGCGGCTGATTAGAGGCAGGGAGAGAGAGACAGAGAGACAGAGAGAGAGGGAGAAAGACAGATAAGAGAGGTAGAGAAAGAGATAGAGAGAGAGAGAGAAGGAGAGGAGAGAGAGAGAGAGAGGGAGAAACAAAAAAAAAGAGGGAGGGAGGAGGCAGGAGAGGGGAGGGAGAAGGGAGGAGGGAGAGGAGGGAGAGGGGATAGGGCAGAGAGGCATAAGGATGAGGGAAGAGAGAAGGGAGGAGAGGAGGGAGGAGGGAGGAGGGAGAGGGAGGAGGAGCAGGAAGGTAAGAACGTGAACGTTCGAGGAAGTCCTAGGCGAAAGCGCTGTTCCTGAATGAAGTCTCGGGCGGGAGCCCACGACGGGCGGGCGATCCCCTGACGGGCGGGTCGGGCGGGTGGGACATCCAAGCGGGATGCCTGAGTATGGCGACAGCGCGATTACTAAGTGAGTTGTACCGGCGTCCTTGGCGCAGCGTGTTTCCTGAGCGTCGACAGCGCGATGTCTGAATAAATTGCATGGAAGTCAAAGGCGAGAGCGCAATTCCGGAACAAAATGTGAAGGGCTCTCTGGCGGGAGCGGGGGTCTTGATTAAACTACATGGGAGTCTTGATTCAATTGCGAGGAAGCCTTAAGCGGGAGCGCCGTTCCTGAGTAAATTGTGAGGAAGTCTCAGATGGGAGCGGGGATCCTTACAATCCGGGGGGGCAGGGGCACAGTTTGAGCACCAAGACTTTTTTTGTCGACAAACAGGGTGCGAGCGTCGAGGGGCACACTTTGATTAAGAAAAATCAGCATGCACCAGTGAGGGGCGATCAGCAATAATTATTCTTTAGAAGTGACAGCTCAATAGCAACAAACAGTTTAAGATTGTTCGCTCCGTTTTGTTCACGTGCCAAACAATGCGTATATCACAAACCTTCGGTACCCGCCTTCGTCGTCTTCGATAGAACCCACTTGGGGGTATATCTTCCTTACCTGCCACGCGCATTTAGTGCAGCCCTTATGACAAGGGAAGAGGAGACGGGTGGAAGGGGGAGGGAAAGAATGGATCACGAGAGAAACTAGCAGGAGGGGGGCAAGGAGCAGAAAACATGTGGTAGAATCAGACGGGCAGATCGGGTGGGCAGACCCATAGCGGGCAGGTCGGGAAGGCGGGCCCAGGCGACCAGGTCGAGCAGGCGGGTTGCTGCAGCGTGGCTCCTGCATGAGCCGCGAGGAAGTCTCGAGCGACAGCGCGAATCGTGAGAAAGGTTAAAGCGAGAGCGTGATTCCTGAGCGCCGAGGACGCATCGTCTGTATTACATTACGAGGAACTCCCACGAGGGCGCGATTCGTGTACAACTTGTGAGGAAGTCCCGCGCAAGAGCGCGATGTGGGAAAATATAGGGAAGTATCAGGCGGGAGCCGCTGTTGTTGCAATCTGGGGGCTTTGCCCCGCGATTTTCCCTGATTGAAAACAGGGGCGGTCCCCGTGGGAAACTTCAAGTGGAAATTAGAATGGTCACTGGAGGGGGATCAACCATCAAGTGTATTCAGTATTCACAAAACAGCAACAACAACTATGAATGTAAGATTGTTCGCTCTTACCTGCTCGAGTGCCATTCAACGCGTATTTCCCGAACCCTCGATACCCGCCCTCTGAATATTCGATCGTACGGGTTTATATTTCTTCTTTGCAGGCCGGGCCCCGGCAAGCGGCGGGGCGGCCGTGGACTGTCGGCCTGGCCAGCGGCAGCGCTGATCGGCGGCAACCCGACCCCAAGAGGTACGGACAGGCGACCGACCACGACGATGCCGGCGACGACGACGACGAGCGAAAGCGAAAGCGAGAGCGAGAGCGACAGCGGGGCCAGGAAGGACAGGAAGGGGGCCACGAAGGGCGACAGCGGGGCCACGAAGGGCACGCGCATGGGGCCACGAAGGGCGCGAACGAGCGGGGGCCACGAAGGGCAGACAATGCGGGGCCACAAGGGGCAACGACGGGGCCACTGAGGGTAGCAACGGGGCCACGTAGGACAGCGAGGGGGCCACGAAGGGCTGCAAAGGGGCCACGAAGCGCATGCATATGGGGCAACGACAGGCGCGAACGAGCGGGGGCCACGAAGGGCATACATATACGGGGCCACGAAGGGCAGCGAGGGGGCCACGAAGGCTTGGAACGGGGCCACGAAGGGCTACGAGGAGGCCACGAAGTGCTGCGACGGAGCCACGAAGGGCACCGAGGGGGCCACGAAGGGCTGCAACGGGGCCACGAACGGCTACGAGGGGGCCACGAAGGGCCGCAGCGGGGCCACGAAGGGCCACGAGGGGGCCACGAAGTGCTGCGACGGAGCCACCAAGGGCACCGAGGGGGCCACGAAGGGCTGCAATGGGCCCACGAAGGGCAGCGAGGGGGCCACGAAGGGCTGCAACGGGGCCACGAAGGGCAGCGATATCCCGATTCCTGAGTAGGCCGCGAGGAGTCCTAAGCGTGAGCGCGACTCCTGGGCGCCTGAGCGTTGGGAGCGCAGCGCTTGAGTAAATTGCGGAGAACTCCAACGCAAGAGTGCGATTCTTGAGCGAATTGCAAGCAGGTCTCCAGCGAGAGCGCGATTCCAGAGCGCCGAGATTCCTTAATACATGCCAAGGAAGTCCCAAGCGAGAGCGCGATTCCTGAGTAAAATGCGAGGACGTTTCAGGCGGGAGCGGGAGTCCTGGCTAACTTGTGACGAAGTCTCAAGTGGGAGCCGTTGTTGTTGCCAACAGCACAGTCTGAACCCCGTGACTTTCCCTGATGGACATACGGGGTGCGAGCCCCGTGGGAAGCACTTCAATTGAAAAGCCACAATGCTCACCGGAGAGGGGGATCAACAATATTCATGTTCAGTAATGCGAGTTTAACAAACAGTACAATACTGTTCGCTCCAATCCAATCGCGTGGCATTCACCGCGTATATCAAAAAAACCCTCGGTACCCGCCCTCTCCGTCTTCGATCGTACCCCGTTACGGTGTATATCTTCCCTACCTGCCGCGGGTAGTTGGCGCGGTCCCGAAAACAGTGAAGCAGGGGAGGAGGGAAGAAACAAGGGACAGGGAGAAGGATGGAGCACGAGAGAAATTAGCAGGAGGGGGGTTGGGAGCAGAAAACACGTGGCAGAACCAGACGGGCAGATCGGATCGGGCGGGCTGACCTTACCGGGCGAGTTGGGAAGGCGGGCCCAGGCGGCCAGGTCGAGCAGGCGAGTCGCTGAAGCGTGAGTCTTGCATCACCGCGAGGAATTCTCAAGCGATAGCGCGATGCCCAAATAAATTGAAGGAAAGGCCAATGCGAGGGCGTGATTCTTGAGTGTCGAGGGCGCAGCGTTAAAACACATTGCGAGGAAGTCCCACGCGATGGCGCGATTCCTGCATAAGTTGTAAGAAGTGTTGTGCGAGAGCGCGAGTTTGAAATAAATTGTGAGGACGTATC